CAGCCACAGCTGCTCTGGGCAACTTGTGCCAGTGTCTCATCACCTTCATGAAAACAGAGAGTTTTTCCTCTATCATCACCCTGTGAGGTGAATCTTCACACCAAGGACAGGGACACAAAGATGCTAAGAGCACTGGAACACCTTCCCTAGGAGGGAGTTGTGGCTGTTCAGCCTGGAGAACAGAAGGTTGTGTGGAGATCTCAGAGCAACCTGCAGGAGCTGAAGGGACTCCAGGAAAGCTGCAGAGGGACTTGGTTAGGAATTGCAGTGACAGGACAAGGAGGAATGGGGATAAATTGATAGAGGGAAATTTAGGTTAGACAGTAGGAGGAAAATCTTCCCTGTGAGGGTGGTGAGACACTGGCACAGGTTGCCCAGGGAGGCTGTGGCTGCTCCCATCCCACACTGTTTATTCCAGGGTGGATGAGCCTTGAAAAACCTGCTCTGGTGGGAGATGTTCCTGCCCACACCAAGGGGTTGGCACTGGATGGTCCATAAACTCCATCCCAACCCCTCAACACACTCTGGAACTAGGAATCCAGCACAGTGCCCAACTTGGCTTGGGGATTCAGTTTTAAGAGGAGAATTTTGGGTTTGATTTGAAAAGAAAACACAGGAAAAAAAAAAAAGAAAAAAAAAAAAAAAAGCAGCCTTTTCTTAATAGAAAAACTCAGATTACTCCTAAAATGTTAACAAGTCTCAGGACAGCTCCAGTGTTATCTCCTGGGGTTGGATTCAATTAGTGCAACTTGGATTCTGGAGGAATTGAGATAGTGAAAGGAGATAAAGAATTACTTAGTGCTCCCCAGATTTATTAATTCTTTGAACCACAAGAACTCAGTGACTCTACATTACAGCTCTTCCCTTTCTGTGTTACGTGGCCAAGAAAAGCTCTCTGACAGCTGAAAATATTGCTAAATATTCCAGTTCTTTCCCAAGAAAGCTTTTGGTAAGGAAACAGCTTTTGCTTGTTAAACCCTTTTATTTCTGCTTGGCTTTTTGTGCAGAAAAAAATGTTTCCCAAATGACAGATCTGCGCTGAATCTGTAATTTTCCCTCTACCAGCATTTCTCTTACTCTACTTTAAATCTTTTTTTTTTCTTTACAATCCAATTTAATCATTAAAAAATCACATCATTCATGTGAACATTTATATGAACTACCTCAATCTTTCCACTTGGGTTAAAGCTGGTTGGACACACAACTGTGTTTGTAGGGAGAGAGTCAAGTTATACAATGAAAACAAGAAGAAATAGAGAAATAGATCCTTAAATCCAAATCCAGTTTTCCTACAGACTTTCTAAGTGGCCAAAATATGCAGCTGGGAATCAAAAGAAACATTTATTAAACATTCAACACTTCAAGTTAGTGAAATTCTTCCCCCTCAAAAAAACCCCCAAATTCTGGGCAAATGACAAAGCTGTGGAGAGAATTTACCTGGGAAATTTGGTCATTTTTGACACTGGAAATCAATCCAAATCTGCTAGAAATGTTGCTTTAAAAATGCTCTTTTTTAAGGCATGAAAATTGGAGTCCCAGAACTGCACTAAAAGGGTGGAGTGTCCCTTTGATTAACCCTGAGATATCTGGTGACTGCAGGAAACAAGATGCCCTGATAACACCTCTTTACTGCCTTGCAGTTTCCACACCAAACTTAATTATAAATCACATTTTCCTCCTTTCAAAACCCTTCCAATTTTCTCCTCTTTAGCACCTCCAGCCTCATAAGCAGCAAAAACAAGTGGAGATTAAAATTAGAAAAGTATTATTCCAGCTTAATTGGGAATTAAATTCTGTTTAAAGGATTAACTGCAAGTTTCAGAGGCTGCATTAGAGGTAAATCCTGTTGTTCTAAGCAGTTCAAAGTTCCCTGCTTGGACACTGAGTTTCTCAGGAAGGTTTGCACCTGGAGCAGCAGGACCTGCCACGGAGAGGAATTTTGCCTGGAGTTG